CCAAACCAGGTGCAGCATCCAACCGAACTGCATCTCCGGAGTGGGAGATCAGCGGCGAGAAAGAGAGGACAGGTATGGTTATCCTTAAGGAAGGACGGGCACAGTTATCCAGAGGGTAACCCTGGCACAACATCTGCTCAAGGCGATGGGAGCAGAGCGGAAGACTGGGTGCAGCTCACCCTAGTGCGTAAGTGAGGCTCCTCGAGACCCACGTCCACAACCCTAATTTCCTCCCTCTGGGCAGAGGAGCAGCTGTCCCCCGTGACACCAGGTGAGCAGCCCGTGCCACCCTGTCCTGTATGGTCCTCATGGTCAGGAAGGCAGATCTGATGCTGCTGAGGTCCAGGCACCCCAGCACCTGTGTGCAACCCCTTCCCACTGGCACTGGCACTCAGGAGCAGAACAACATCTCTGTTGGGTTTGATTTCGGCACAGTCAGCTCCTCCAGCGCACAGCTGCATGAGTGCAGGGTGCTGGCACGTGCGCAGGGGTCAGAGCAAGCTCAGACAGGGCAGAGACGCCCTGCCAGCTCAGAGGGACCAGAGGGCCACTGTCCCTCCAGCCCCCTGCTCGGATGCTCCCCGTTTGCAGCACCGCAGCCAATGCCACCTAACCCTCACCCCGCTCTCTGCGTGCTCGCGTGTCCCAGGACATCCTCCGGCCTCATGCCACAGAGATCCTGCAAACCTGACAGCTGGCACGCCAGATCCCATGGTGACTCCAGTGCCATGGGAGGTGCCACCGACTGACAGCCGCAGCCTCAGGTTTGGCTTTACAAGAGGTGGTTTGGGTCTGGCCCAAGCGGCTCCGTGCCAGGAGCCCCGTGCCCTCCCACCAGCAGTGCGAGTACCGCAGGAGGGTTTCACTCTCACACCCCCCCACCCTCGCACCCCTCTCCAGGAGGACAGGAGGAGGCCAGGCTCTGCCTGGCAGGGCAGGGAACAAGGGGACTGCCGCACTCGGCAAGATCCGGTTCTCAAATCTGCCCTGGCATCTCCCTGGCCACCGTCTGGCAGGGACACCTGGGCTGAGCCTGACACACGCATCGCTCCCTGCTCCGCTCAGCACCGCTCCGCCCCTGCCTTCCGAACCGCAGCGACGCTTAAGTCAGAGGACAAATTATCTCAGGCAGTTTCTGCGTTTGTCAGCCCGTCGCAGGGTACGTGGTGCTTTGTCACGGGAAAAGTCAATCCAATAACATGGGACCTTCTTCAGAAGTTCTCCCACAGCCCAAGCTCTTCCTCCAGATTTATGGAGAAACACACCGGGTACCAGCCACGACCCAACACACCGACAGGG